GGTATCCGGTCCATTTTACTTTGTATTCGGTGATTGGTTCCGGGTGATCTGATACTTGAGTTGTTCTTCGTCCTATGATTGACTCGACTATGAATCCTTGGCCTGTTGGAAGCATGATTGGTGGAGGTCTAGGATAAGGGCGGTCAACGAACTGGGCCGGGGATTCGTGGTATTCCTTGAGGTATTCTACGTGGAAGACTGGGTGGACGCGACGCATGTCAGGTGGAAGCTGAAGTTTGTAATTCACAGGAGAGGTTTGTTCAATGATGGGGAAGGGACCGAGCCACTTGTTCGAGAGTTTCTTGGACAAGCCTTGTTCGGGTTCAAAGCGTTTGGAAGAAAGCCAGACTTTGCCCCCTACTTTGAATGACACGTCACGTTTGTGTTTGTTAGTCTTGTTGGCTTGTTGTCCTTGTGTTCTTTCAAGGGCTTCGGTTGATTCTCTGAGGAGTCTGTTCATTGTTGCTACCCATTCATTGAGAGGGGGGCAAGGGGTGGAGGGTCTGAGCTGCGAGGGAAGCAAGAAATCAGAGGGCAAGCGGGGATGGTAGCCAAGGTCGAGGTAGAAACGGGACATGCCAGTGGAGGGGCAGACAGCGTTGTTGTAGGCAATCTCGATGGTTGTGAGCAACTGATCCCAATCGTGTTGGTGTGGATGACAATACTTTTGCAGGATTCTTTGGAGTGTATCGTTCATCTTCTCTGTTTGTCCATCGGTCTGTGGGTGGAATGCAGTGCTGCGTGGTTCCATAGTCCGTGAAGGTGTTTCCAAAATTGTGAGAGGAAGCAAGGATCACGGTCACTGATGATGTTCTCGGGGAGGCCATGACGGCGAGCAACATGGTCGAAGAAGAGTGTGGCGACGTCTTTGGCACTGTGCGAGGTTGTGCAAGGGACGAAGTGGGCACGTTTGGTCAAGCGGCAGACAATGACGTAGATGCAAGCATGCTCGCGGTCGGTCTTGGGGAGGCCGCACACGAAGTCCATGGAGATGGACTGCCACCTGTGAGTTGGGATGGGCAATGATTGGAGCTTGCCGGGTTTGGCCCGGTTCGAGGGGCTGACAACTTGACACGTGGGGCACGAGCGAATGTATGCCTTGACGTCGGCGAGCAGGGAAGGCCAGTAGAAGTAGCGCGAGATGGTGTCGAAGGTTTTATGAAAACCGAGATGTCCTGCTCTCTTGGCGTCGTGGTGCTCGGCCAAGAGTTGAGTACGGAGGCCTCGTGCGTCGGGGATGCAAAGTCGGCGAGTGCCTTTGGTATCGATGTAGAGGAGATTGTTGTGGAGGGAGTAGTCGGGAACTGGGTCAAGATTGTGGAGCTTGTTGTAAATGGTGGCGAAGTCTGAGCAGGAGAGATAGCCTTGGGTGTATCGATGATCAAGTGATGGAAGGAGTTGAATATGAGTCATGGCGGCGTAGACTTTCTCGGGGGGCTTGTGGCCGGGTCGTCGAGAGAGGGCATCCGCAACGCGGTTGCTTTTGCCGGGGATATGGCAAATGGTGAATGTGAACTGGGCCAGGAAGTCTAGCCAGCGGGCTTGGCGTGGAGTGAGGAGACGATGGTGTTGTCAGTGCAGATGGTGAAGTATTGCCCGTCGAGGTACGGGCGCCAAAATATGAGGGTGTGAATCACGGCGAGGAGTTCCTTCTCGTTGGAAGGGTAATTCATCTCCGCGGGAAGGAGCTTCTTGCTTGCGAAGGCGATAGGGTATTCGCCAGGTGGAGCCTCGGGGTGAGTGGGCGAGTCCTTGATGGAGGGGGTCTCGGCGGTGTCGCGGGGGAAATGTTGGGACAGTACGGCTCCGATGGCGAAGTCGGAGGCGTCGGTGGTGACATTGAAATGGCGAGTGGGGTCGGCAATCTTGAGGACAGGGGCCGTGGTGATGGTTTGCTTGAGTAAGTCGAAAGCATGTTGGCGGAGATCGTTCCAATGGAAGGGTTCGTCCTTGCGGGTGAGTTCGTGGAGAGGGTACGAGATCTCGGAAAAGTTGCGAATGAACGGGCGGTAATAGTTGGCAAGGCCGAGGAAGGAACGGAGTTGGAGGAGGGTCTTGGGTGGGGGGTACTCGACGAGGGCTGTGACCTTCGAGGGGTCCATACGGATGCCTTCAGCGGAGACAATATGGCCGAGGTATTCGACGCTCGACGCGGCAAACGTACATTTGTTGAGCTTGGCGTAGAATTTTTGCTCTCGGAGGATCGAGAGGACTTGGCGGAGGTGCTGAAGGTGGGACTCGAAGGTGGGGCTGAAGACAAGGATGTCATCAAGGTAGACGACGACACAGACTTCGAGGAGGTTGCGGAAGATGTGGTTCATGGTGGATTGGAAGGTAGCGGGGGCATTGGTGAGTCCGAATGGCATCACRAGGAACTCGTAGTGCCCGAACCGAGAGCGGAAGGCGGTCTTGTGGGTGTCCTCCTCGCGGATACGGATCTGGTGGAAGCCACTGCGAAGGTCGATCTTCGTAAAGTACTTGGCTCCACTGAGACCATCAAGGAGCTCGAAAATCCGAGGTAGGGGGTACTTGTTTTTTATCGTGATCCGGTTCAAGGCACGGTAGTCTGTGCACATGCGGAGTTCCGAAGTTCCACCTTTCTTGACGAAAAGGCAGCTGGTTCCAAAGGGGGATGAACTTGGCTTAATGAACCCTTTTTCAAGGAGTTCACCGAGTTGCCGTTTCATTTCTTCGGCTTCGGGGACAGAGAGTTGGTATGGAGGGCGGCAAGGTGGAGAATGTCCGGGTTCCAAATCGATGGTATGGGATACGCAACGATCCAGAGGTAGTCCGGCGGGTAAGGACTCGGGAAAGACGTCCCTGAACTCGTCGAGGATTGAGGTGATGGCGGGATTGGAGGGGGGGGCTTGATCGGGTTTGTCCGTCGGGAGTAAGTCCTCGGGACCTTCGCGATCAAGGACAAGACAGTAGTAGGCGGAGTCGGGGTTTAGGCGAGCCATGTGGAGGAAATGGTGCGGGGTGACAGAGCCTTGGGAGGTCGGATATGGGAGATAGGGGATGTCGATGGTTGTGTCGGGGGGGTTGGTGAGCAAAGGAAGTTGGGGTGGAATGCATATGGCATGTAGCGGTCCAGCCACGGGGTTCCTAAGACGATGTCGCACATCAAGTGCATGACATCAAATGAGACCTGACTGCGGAGGGTTCCGACGGTCATGGTGGTATCGGGGACCGTGCGGTCTACTACGACGGCGGTGTCTTTGTCCCCTAGGCGAATCGTGGTCGGGGAGTTATAATCGGTAGAGGTAAGACCGGCTTTGCTGACACACGCGTCGGTGATGAAGTTACCGGTGACTCCAATGTCGAGGAGGGCCCGAAACTTAGTTGTAGATGCACCAAGGGTGGCGGCGACGAACTTGAGGTGGAAACGAGACGAGTTGGTGGTGGAGATGATGGTGTTGAGGAGGCGTTGTTCGTTGCCTAAGTGGACAAGCCGATCGTGTCGGGCTTGTTCCTCAACAACATCAGAGAAGGTGACAGTGGATGGGTTTGGAAGAAGGGTAGAGGAGCATGAGGCAGTGGGAGGCATTTACGACGCCTGGGAGTCGTCCGGTGGAGGGGGCGTCCCCGGAGAGGGGGGAGGCAGACGAATTGTCGACGCAAGATGGGCCATCGGTGGGACGGAGGACGTTACCGGTAGGTGGGCCGACAAACGTGATGTCGATGCCGGGTCAGTGTCCTGGGGACTGTGTTCATGATGAGGAGGGGCCCGCGCTTGCCGAGGGCGGTGATGCGGAGGTTGCGGGTCGAGTGGAGGCGGACTGGCGGGTGAATCGTGCGGCGTTGGGGCAACTGGTTTGTTGGTGCCCCAATTGGCGACAACGGAAGCAACCCCCTTTTGCTTGGAGGTAGGTGCGCTCCTCCAGGGTGAGTTTCTTGAGACGGGAGGGTGGGGTGGATGAGGGTGGTCGTGAGCTGCGATCTCTACGCTCCATTCTCATGAATTAGACGACATCGAGTTCCTCGGAAGTGAGGGATGAAGAGTCGAGTGAATCGAAAGATGCGTCGGGGTCAGGTGTGGTGAACTCGTCCGAGGAGGTGATGGAGGTGATGTCTTCGGGGGTGATGTGGTGGAAAAAGCGGGTGCGAGAGGTGCCGGGCGGGGGCTGGTGGTGGGGGTGGAGGAGTCGATCGTGGTGAAGCATGCGAGAGAGGAGGTCGGCAAGGGGCATGTCGGGTTCGTGGGCGAGGGCGGTTGCAAGGTCTTTGTGGCATACTCGTTTGATGCGGGAGATGAACGCAAAGTCGGGAATGACGGTGTGGGGGAGGTGGTGGCGGAGGGAGCGGACATGTTGGACGAAGCGGTCCGTGGGACCGGTGTCGGGACCGGTGGGTCCCGAGATAAGTCTTGCCCGTTGAGAGGCGGTATACCGCGGAATTGTGCACGGCAGAGAAAACCGGAGGCAAGAAGGATAGAGAATGTTAAGTACTGACGCTGGGGGATGGGGAGGTTGCCCAAGTCGCCGGAGCCACGGGGCCAAGGAAGGATTAGCGGAAAGGCGAGCGGCAAGAGACCGCAAGAAAATAGCAAAGGCGGTCGTTCCCCTGAGAAGGAGAAGCACCGCCGGGAAAGTGACGCCATGGGTCGCATGCGGCAAGGAGAGAAGACAGTTAGTAAGGTGCCGACGCGTCAAGTTGTAGCCCGGGCCAAGAGGGCCACCGGGGCGCAACGTCAAGAAGGCCAAGAAGCCACGGGCCAAGTAAGAACCCGCGTCTGTGGAGAACGGCGCACGGGGCATGAGAAGGACAAAGGGAAGAAGGCGGTCATAAGGCGGAAAAATAATAAGGTACCGGGGACCACCGGCGGGACAAAGTGTTGGGGACCACCGGCGAGACAAAGTGTCGGGGACCACCGGCGGGACAAAGTGTCGGGGACCAGCGGCGGGACAAAGTGTCGAGGACCACCGGCGGGACAACTATCGGCGGGACAAGTACCGGCGGGACCACCGGCAGGACGAGTACCGACGGGACCACTAGCGGGACTAGTGTCGGGGACTAACGTGGGAAAGTGGCGGGAACTTGTAAAGTCCCAAGGAAAAATTGTGACGTGCCGTGAGGCGCAAATAATTAAAGAAAGATGCACCGTCAAGATCAAGAATCTTGATGACCAAGAATATTAGCACCACTAGCATGAGCGCTAGTGGGAGCAAGCAGGACGGCCAAAAGAAAAAGAAAACTAAAAGAACATGGATGTAGAGGCATGGGAGCAATCCGGAAAATCCCGAATTGGCCTCCCCCAAGAAAATGGAGCCAGAAGGGACTCCATGAGAAAAATAGGCCTCCCGTAGAAAATCGAAATATGGGGGCCTACCGTTTGGAAGAGATAAAGGCAAACGTAGGCTCCCATGGGCATGGAAAGGCCACAAGTGCAATCTGAGAGATAACGGACTGACCCTTGGGCATGGGAAGGGCCAAAACTAAGAGGAGGAACCTAGAAAAGGGCCTTAACGGCTAGTTGACACTTGGCATGCAGAAAGAAAAAGAAAGAGAAAAAGGAGAAGAAAAAAAAAAAAAAAATGGGAGGTGAGAGAGGATGAGTGAGTTGGCCGTCAGTAGGGACTACCGCAAGTAGGGACTAGCAAGTCCCTACTGTCCACAAGTGGAGGAAAAAGAAAAGAAAAGAAAAGGAAAAAGAAAAAAGAAAAGGAGAAAGTCGAAAGGGCACTGACAGTAAAAAACGGTCACTTGGGGTGACCAGATTCATTATGGAATATGGCGGTTACAAAGGACTTTGATTTTCTTTGATTTTTGCAGAGAAAATCAAATAAAATCAAGGGCCCTTGCAACCGAAAAATAACGGATCACCTAGGGAGGCCAAACACATGTTTTAGGTGCACCGGGAGCCAAAATGAGGACCGGGTGCACTTGGAAGTTGGCCGTTTTTTTTTCTTTCAATCTGAGGCTAGTTGTGGGGCATTGGGGCTAGGGAATTGGCCCCTACAACAGTCCGAGTTGCAACGGACCGCATGGGGGAGGCCAGACACATGTTTTTGGTGCATCCGCAACCAATATTGAGCCCGGATGCACTTGAAAATCAAACGCTTCTTTTTCTTTTAGCATAGGGCAAATTGTGGGGTTGTGGGACTAGGAAAAGGGCCATGAAAGCAGTCCGAGAAATAACGGACTGCATAAGGATGCCTGGGCCAAGGGGAAATGGGCCGCGGCATGCCCAAAGGGCTAGAAAATGATGCCGCAGGCATAGGAAAAATTGGGGCGGCAACTGGTGTCCGCAAGATGAGGTCCCACGGCCAAAAGGACATCGGCACGCGCGCGGCATCCAAGGAAGAAGCATTGGGACTGTTGGGGGCAAGGGGGTTCCAAAATAAAAATGGGACGCCACCCGAAATGTTGTCGGGGACCAAGTGGGCCCAAATAATAAAAGTCGAAAAGTGGGACGCGCACCGACGGCGCCGCCGGTGGGGCAAAAGTAAAAAATAAATGGGACTAGTACGGGAAAGCGGCGGGGACTTGAGGTGTCCCAAGGAACAACCACAAGCCAATAAGGGGAGTGATTGTGCAAGGCCACCGGCACCGTCAAGATCGAGATCGAAGATCTTGACGGTGGAAAATATTAGCACCACTAAGTGCAAACACTAGTGGGGCCCAAACGGGGGGCCGAGCGGTAAAAAGAGAAGGAAAATGGGAGTTGGGAGGGTTGTCCAGCAGTCCGAGATATTTCGGACTAACTAGGCATGTGAAAATGAAGCTTCAAAAGGCCCAACATGAGAAACAGGCTGCCCTTGGAAAATCGGAGCAAAAGGGGCTCAAAATCGGACAAACGACGACAAAATGGAGCCCCCTATGAGCATGGGAGGGTCATTTTTGGAATCCGGGATGTAACGGCCAACAGCCGGCCATGAACCTGGCCATGATTGAGAATCTAAGGCCTAGAAAAATGATGCACAACTGTTGAAGACTTGTCACAGCAAAATTAAAAGAAAAAGAAAAGAAAAAGGGAAGAAAATGGAGGGAGAATGAGACAAAACGGGAGAAAAAGGTGGAGGAGAATGTGTCGGCCTATTGGGACTGCTGCAGTAGGGACTGGCAGGTCCCAATGATGACCTCATCCCTCCTAGAATGAGGGAGGGCAATCCGGATTGCTGAACAATATATGAAATAAAAAGACAAAAATGGGAGAAAATGCAAAGGAGAAATGACCGGTTTTCTTTTTGGCCATGGATCTGAGACCAGATCTCATGGTGGAGAAGAAACAACCGTTTTTTGTGGGCCAGCTCAAAACGGCTAGCTCCGGAATGAGGTGGAAGCCCAAAATGGAAAGAAATAAAAGAGGGATAAAGACAGAACTATGCATTTGGCCCAAAAAGAGAGTCAGATACATCAAAAATTGAAAAATTGAACTTAGGGGCTCAAAATGGAAGCCAGAACCACCATGGGGTAGCTCGGAATAATGCTGGCCTTAGATCTCAACCTGATCCAAGGCTGAAAATGTGCCGCCATATGGAAAAATGCTTCGGCCTACCCAAGGGAGGCCAAAATCACAAAAAGTCGAGAAAAAGGCTTTGTAGGCCCTTTTCTCCCAAGTAGGTTTTTCCTTGGGCTTTAGACCGAAGTGGGCAGCATTTTTCAAGTGGTATGAGGCTGGAAAAAGGCCCAAGGGGCAGTCCGAGTTGGTACCAACTACTCGGACTGCATGTACCTGGCCAAAGTGAGGCCCAGGTGCACGCTCGGAGAGGCCTAGTGATGAAAATTGGCCATGGGGGTACCTCGGTTCACTATGGGGCACATGGGGAGGCCCATGGGCTGGCCGGACTGCTGTTTCCAGCCTACATAAGCTGGGAGTCCAGTCCGCCACACTCCCATTTGCATGAGGAGTGCCCATGCTGCCCAAATGTGCCCATGAGAGTACTACACTCACTTGGAGTGAAGTGAGGGGAACCCCTACCAGTTTGAGAGCTTAGAGGAGACTATGAGCTAGTGTGTAGGACTCTACAGGCTAGTGGTAGTGGGGGAAGGTGATCCCCCATAGCTCCCAAACTGTGAGGAAGAGAGGAAGGCTAGAGGGAGTCCCATTAGCCCTCCTAGAGGGGAGGACTCCATAGCCATAATGTTTTGAGCTTGTGGCAACTCAGGACGGAGTGAGAGAGGAAGGAGGAGAAGGGCTTGGAGGGGAAGGAAGCCATAGCCAAGGGGGTGGTTGAGCAAGGAAAGGAAGGCCTTCATCCAGATTAGTACTCCATCCCAAGACACCAAGGAGGTGAGTGAAGAGGAGGGCCTCGTCCTCCTCCTCCTTCTTATTCTTCTTCTTCTTCTTCTTCTTCTCCCTCTTCTTCTTCTTCCTCCTCCTCCTCCCCTTCTTCTTCCTCTTCCTCTTTTCCTTCTCCCTCTTTTTCTTCCCGTTCTTTTTCCTCCACCTTCTTCTTCTCCTCCCCCTCCTTCTTCTACTTCTTCCTCTTCTTCTCTTCCCTCTTCCTCCCCCTCTTCCTCTTCTTCTTCTTCCTCTCCCTCTTCTTCTTCCTCCTTTTCTTCTTCCCCTTCTTCATCTTGATGTTTGAGTGATGATTAGTGATAGATTAGCCTTGATCTTCACTCCTATGTAAATCGCCACTTTCCCCCTTGAGTTTCCATGCATGAGAGTGAGTTCTACTTACTCTACACTCACTTTCCCTCCATTATCTCACTTGGATGCAAAATCGCAATCTTGATTCTTGCTTTTCCTAGCCTGTTGGTGATGTGTAGTGCTTGATTAGTCTCAATCTTCACTCCCATGTAAATCGCCACTTTCCCCCTTGAGTTTCCATGCATGAGAGTGAGTTCTAC